AGAAAATAGATTTATAGAAAATAGATTTCCAGAAAATAGATTTATAGAAAATAGACTTATAGAAAACAGATTTGTAGAAAATAGATTTGTATAAAATAGATTTATAAAAAATAAATTTATAAAAAATAGAAATGAATTTCTAATCTAGTCTAATCTAATGTCTTTAAGCTTCTTAAATACAACATATTATTTCATGCAGGAAAGCTTTGTTATTTTTAACTGAAATGGCATTCACAATCTTGCGTAATCAGCTCGGTAGCAGAATAAAAAAATAAAAGTATTTTAATGTTAATTTTTTTTTTTTTTGCCGAAAGTGATGGGTCTTATGACGAAAAGAAACTATTTAAATGTTAAAAGGGTTCAAATAGAAATGAAAAGACAACAACAAAAATTTTAAGTTAATTTATTGAAATTTAGTTGACCATGAAATAAACTATTTAAATGTAAAAAGGGTTCGAATAGAAATGAAAAGACAACAAAAATTTTAAGTTAATTTATTAAAATTTGGCTGAGCACACAATCCTGTTTCGAATATTGCAAATTAGTGGTCATCAATGGTCTTAAGAAATATTCAAATTTTTTAATTAGTTTATAGTTCGTATATAAATTGTTTGGACTGCATTTTTTAAATTCGTTTGAATATTTTACAATTTCATTTTTGTTTTCTTAATATAAATATTATTTACTCACATTTATTGAAATGTCAATTGTCAAATTGGGTTAAAAACTATAGGTTGGGATTGAGTGTAGTCGTATAGATTGAAACTGCGAAATTTCCATTTGTTTTCTTCGATAATAGTGTTTATATAATAATTTATTAACGGGCTAATTGGTCAATTTAAATAGAAATAAAAACACTATAATGTATTATTTATATTCAAAATTAGTTTATATTTTATTAAAAATAATTGTTCCAATATTTTGACTGTCTTCGACAGTCATCTTCAGGGAAACTGAACGAAACAAAATATATGTACAATGTTCATTTTTATAGCGGAAAATTACAAGAAAAGTCTTAACAGTAAATACAATAATAATAATGACAACAAGAAAAACAACAATAGAAAATAAAAATAAAAATTATAAAATATTTACAAACATCCTGTGTCATTTGTTTATAATATTTCTATAAGTCTGAGTACAGTTGTCCGTTGTATAATTTAGTCTTATACTATTAGGAGATTGAAGTATTGAGAGCATTTCTAGAAAGCACCTTTTATAATGGTTTCTTTCTTCATGTAAGATTTTTGCATTATCCAAAGTTTTAGTGTCCCTGAAGATGACTGTCGAAGACAGTCGAAATATTGGAACAATTATTTTAATTAAAATATAAACTATTTTTAAATATAAATAATAAATTATAGTGTTTTTATTTCTATTTAAATTGAAATCTCATAAAAAGAGAGATTTTGTCGTTATTTGAAGGTTAATTAAAAAAATAATATAAATTCAAGAAATTTTAAAAATTACTAACGTAACAGAATTTTAATGTGCAATAATTTAAATATATATTTTTATATTTATAAACAAAAATATTTAATATATTTAACAGTTAAGTCATAAAAACACAGTAAGTTCATTAATTTTAATGTGAATGTTTTTTTAAATTAATTTTTTTAATGTTACTGCATTTTAATTGTATTATATCACCTCTGAAAGTACCTTTGAACAACAGTTTTATTTTGTCAGGTTCATATGTGTATATAATTTTAACTTCACGACTTTTCATATTTTATAGGTCAGAGTTCCCCAACGTGGGAAATATACACCACATAGGGACAATTTTACGGTTTAGGAGGAAATTCCTCTTTGGTAGGTAGTTCGAAATTATAAATATGTTATTTGATAATAGTCTTGATTATATGCCATTTACCTCAATTGACGAGAAAAAAAATGAGAAAATCTATACTAACAAAAAAAAAAAGATTTTGATTTCTACTTTGATAATATCACCAATAGATAAGGATTAGCACGAAAAAGGCTAGGAAATACTGTTGTAGATAGTTATTAGGTTTGGTTAATTTTAGTTATTTTATAGGGAGTTTTATTTAAAAACAAATTGTGTAATTATATTATAAGTTACATTTTATAGTTTCTTACTTAAATACGCTCCTAACTATCACCTTACGAAATTAATGACTCTGAAAATGAGAGATTTTGTATAAATCTTGTTTAAACATTCGTTTATCCTATCTACTCGTGTTTTGTGGTTCCAAGAACGGTAGGATTTACGTCCTGGACACACTCGTCGATCCAGACGACCAAGTGCCGTTCAATATTCTCAAAAGGGTCAACACAAGTAGATTCCGGCTAGTTTCAACACCAACTGGTATTTTACGATTATTAAGTAACGGATGAGGTATCTTTATTTCGATTCATTGAATTAAATGACATGTATAATTTTGAATGAAGTAGTATCTTATGCGATTGTTATAAAACAGGTCCAGTACCTTCTTTTGGCTTCATTGAGCTGAATGACATCTAATGAATGATACTAATATATGATACTAATATGATACTAATACTTTTTTATAAGACTATTCTCAAACCGTTAATAGAATATTATTTGGTTTCACTATAATTTTTTTATACTCGTAATTATTAATTTTATTTTTAATTTAATTATTATTATGCATTTTATTACCGTTTTACGATTTCTGAGTGTGACATCATAAAACTAAATAAAGTACAATATATTTAGATTCATTAAACTTCACTTAAAATCAAATCTATCTCATTTTAAATGCGGCGACAGATTTTTACATGTTGTATCCGCCTTACCTTTTTTTAACAAAAATTCTCATGAATAAAATATTGTGTTTATTTCTGTTAGAAATATATCAAATTCTTTTGTCACTTTTGATCTTGAAAAAACTATGCAAATAAGAATGAAATTTTAAATTAACATTGAATTTTAAAGCTATTCAAAAATATTATTCAGTAAACTGTTCCGACGTTGATGAACTTTATGCGATATCAAAACAATTAGATATTTGCTGCGATTCGACTTTACTTTTCAAAAAGTAAAAAAATTATGTTTATCTATCTGATTTGATATTGCATTTTTATATATTCTAATAGATACTTTTTCAGATACTTCTTATTGATCTTTAATTTTTATTCCATTCAGACAATTCACATAACATATAAATATAGATTCATATAAAATTAATTTAGATTGTTATTATTAGAGATCAAGAGTCATTGCTACCAGAATAGATCTATTATGCATAATCTTGCGTTTAACCCTTATATATTGAGGCTTTGTATAAATTTTATAAAGTCTAGCTGCCTAGTACATTCTCGGCACTAAGTTTTGAAGTCTTTATCTATCAAGATTAGCGCGCTCATAAAGAAAGGGCTTTGAGTTTTAATGTCTATTTCACAGAAATGGCGAAAGTAGCTTAAATAAATCCCTTAATTTGGAAAAAAAATTATTTTATTTCTTTGTTTGTTTATATAATCGTCAATTTTATTAGCTTCTGTAATTCACGTCTTGTCACCAATCCAAAGAATTTAGTGCTATAGCTCTACATATTATAGAAAAGGATTTAATTATATTTGAGGTGATTGTGACAATGTGACAGTATGTATATGAGGGTACTTTTCAAAAATATTCAAAAATCAGAAACATTTACCCAACATGTAAATGGCGAAATTGAATTTAATGTCGATCAATCCGTGAAATATATGCGGAAATTGTCCGGTTAAGAATATAATCTAATCTCTAGACATTTGTCGTTTATAATGACCTAGACATTTTTGAACTACCTGGTTTAAAGTACAATGAATCATCTCTTTGTATACTGGTATTATGTAGAAAATTTTGTATGTCCTTTGTATTTATATTTATATCCCATTTTTGTATCTAAAGATACCTTGTAGTTTTGAAATACTTAACTACGATATTTTCTTAACTGGAATACGGAACTGTGAATTATTTTCAAGCACTTTTAAGCCGTCAGGGTTGGACAGGTTTTTATTTCAAGCATTGCAAGCATTTCAGTGAATAATTCTTTTTCTTCTTTTATCCTCTACTTCCAGTGGAGCATAGGGTCTCCACCATCCTTTAGTATCAAGTTCTGTTACTTGATTCTCGGCAAATATAATTTCAATTTCCAATTTCAAATTGCTTTTCTTAGCTCTTCCTCAATTTTCCTACTTAGGTCGATGGCTGCTTTGAGAGCTCCACCTCAGAGCTTGGCATTCAATGTTTTGAGTGGGTCTGCAGAGATTGTGGTATATCTTAACTGTAGCAGGTGATTGATTCGTGATAGCTCATAGATTGGTGTTTGTGATGCGTTTGGGTCATCTTAATATTTGACGTGGGCATTTGTTCACAAAAGAGCAGTATTTATTACGAGATTTAGACGTTATATTATATTAAAAATATTATATATAGAGTATATACTGGATACTCGATCCAGGTGGAAGTTCCAATCTAATCTTTCATTAAGCAATTAAATACAATAGGAAATGTAAGTCATTTTGGACTGGCGATTTAAAATTATAAGAGATGTTTTATATATGTTTTAATATTTCAAAATTTAAAGATATTTGTAGAATTTAGTATAAATAAAATATAACAGCTCTTTATTTAAATCTGCAAAATGAAGCCGCAACATAATTAGCTATATACAATGTTTTAATATAATGTAGAAAGTGAAGACAGAAGAGTCCATAGTGTATACATAGTTTCGTTTTTAAAACTTTAATAACTATACACATATATAATGTCAATCGGCATATTTTTCTTTGTTTTCAAAACTCCAGCTTCTGAAGCTTTGTCACTGTCACGGCCTCATAACTATTGTTTTTTTTTTATATATTTCGGGTAATATCATTGCTAGGTTTACCGTGACTACCTCCTCGAAGTTAATATGATAGCTTATTGATGCATTTATATTAATTACATTACATATTATATTATATTTTATGTACAATTGACTATCTATCATTTTAATATCTAATCTAATCCTACCTATTTTTTATTTTTTTAGCATCCTGGCGGCGAGGAAGTTTTAATTGAACAAGGTGGTAAAGATGCTACGGAAAATTTCGAAGATGTTGGTCACAGTTCAGATGCACGAGAAATGATGAAAAAATATAAAATTGGAGAGTTAGTTGCTACCGAACGTACGAATGTTCCAGAAAAATCTGAGCCAACATGGAACAATGACACAAAAAATGAAGATGCTTCCATGAAATCTTGGTTGGTGCCTCTGATACTTGGTGTTGCTGCTACTCTGCTTTACAAATACTTCTTTAATAGTAAACAACAATAATTTTTTTTATTTGAGCATTTAACACAGTTTTATATTTTTAAATTAATTTTTAAGAGCCCATTCCTCTTTTTATATGAACTTTTATTTTGCATTTATCGATGGTGCAAACAGAAAATCCTTTAATATAAAACTCAATGTGAATGCATATTGAAAATATGTTTAATATATATAAAAAAATTTTCATTAATAATTGAATTTAATTTGGAAAATATATGTAAATACTTCAAAGGAGGCGGGAAAGTTACTGGTTTTTATTGTTTTTTTAAATTCAATAAAATAAATTGTTTTAACTTTGTAATCACAAACTTTTTTGAACTTTAGATAAATATAGTAAAATTAAAATTAAATTTTAATTGTTTTTAAATATTTCAAATATATTATAAATAATTATGTAAAAATTTTTTAGTAAACAGAAAAGGAGTTTTTTTTTTTTCATTAATAAATGTAGAATAATAATATTAAATATGAAAGTAATACATATTTAATTATTAACAGTAACATTAGTTACTGATGTACGTATTATATAGTATTATGTATTATATAGAATAGTATGTGAATCAGAGTTTCTTAACTGCCGACCCACGCTATATATATCCACAATATTACTTTCTAAAAATGTGTTGATATCAGTTCTTGTAAAACTGAACACATATAGATTATCATTAAATAGTTGATGTTCTTTGGAAACTATGAGATTAGTATAGGAACATTGTTTTCGTGGGTCTTTTAGAATTGTCGCTACAGGTGCAATATAATTTTTATTTATATTTATACATTAGTTTTAAAGACTGAAATATACAAAAAAATTATCCACAGAGTTCCATAAATGATAATTCCATTGTTTTTAAATATAATTTATAAATGTTAATTTTTAAAATCTAATATGACGCGTCTTATGACGAAGAGAAGTTATTTTTAAGTTAGAAGGGTTCGAACAGTAATGAAGAAACAACAACAACAATTTTAATTAGTTTATTGAGTTTTGGCTGTTTCAAAACAAAGCTGTTTCGTATTTTTGAATATAATATATATTTGTTCTTACTGCAATAGTAATATTTTTGTCATCAAACCAATTCTACTGTATTATTGATAACAAACTTTATTCGTTTTAAATTTGTAGTTGTAGCCTAGGTCATGGACCTGCATTTCTGGCTGTTGACATAAACAACCATTAGTAAGCCATTAGTATAAATAGATTATAGGACAAATACGTTATAGGACAGATACATTAATTTAAAAGGACATAGTTTAAAATCCGATATATGAACAACTATAACTGTTCTAATAACTTCTCAAATGAAATAAATAAATGATACATGATACAAATAAAATTTTCAACTTTATAGTAATTGGGTTTTATTTTTACTAAAATAACCATTGGTACACAATGTGAAGTTAAAGATTTTGGGGAAAAATTTGATAGACTACCCAAAAAAAATTAGTACTATGAATAAATCTAATAATAATAGTTCAGATTAATAAATCTTTAATATACTCCATATCTTATTCTGTTCCATAATACGAAGAGAAGGGTGAGATGGAGTTTCTATATCTCTTTCCTTACAATGATAGGATACGAACAGATTTGGCAGAGTTGATTTTCTCAATTTGTATTTTACAAATCTGTGTTACGAATGTCTATTCATCCCATTATTTATAGTTATTGTTATTGATCTGAGTTCAAATGTATTTAGTCAGAAAGATTGTCAGCATTTTTCTTGTTTACCCAAATGAATCCAATGTTACTACATATTGACGCATTCTGACAAGTGAATAATCTTCTGAAAAGTCTGATTCCTATGAAAGATGTTAAGGCGCCATTCTTCACAAGCTCATGAACTATTACGTTTTCATCAAATTTCTAGTGACCAGATAATTAAAGGTGTGTTACTTTTTTCGTAGTAATCAACTCAGCTTTGAACCATAAAATTTAGTGGTGCGAACTCGGAAAACTTTTATAGTTACAAGTAATTTATTATAAATGAACTGTTCTAAAACGTAGATCGGCTATATACACTCTATTACACTCTAAGTTTTAAAAAAAAGAACACGATATTTTGCAGCATTAGAAATCATCCTTTATTCCTACAATTAAAGCACTTAAAAAGTTTCTATTACATTCATATCCACTAATAATAGATAAAGTATTGAGGTATTTTGATTGTTTTAAAATATTTTATTCACATAAGATTGTTTGAAATATTTTTAATAGGTTTTATGATAATTTTATAGCTTAACCAGAATCATCACTCCATGATAATCATCACTTTCACAGAATTAATAAACAAACTATATCGTAAGTACCACTTATGCCTAGTTTTCGCACCCACTTGCTGCCATACTGTGATATGCTCAAATTAGATTGTTTACCATATATAAAACAAAATTGAGACATCAATTAATCATTTGAAATCATCACCAGACTCATTAACATGGAACACACACAATATGGATGCGGTTATGTTTGGAGTTTGTGTTTACTTTTCGAATATAAACAGCTCTCATTATATGTATATGTGTATTATTGCTCTTAATTACTTTGAATACATATCATATAAGTATGTATGTTTGTATAAATATATGTATCATAACTAAATGATATTAGTTTTAATTTTTATAAATAGATTAATATAAATATGTATAGAAAAAGATATTTGGTAAAGAGCCTATGAATCTATTAAATTTCAATTGTGTATCTAAATATATATTAGCTACTTTAGCTTCATGGTTGTCTTAGATCCGTTTCTTACTGCTTCAAATTTAAATTGTATATCTAAATACATAATATTAACTTCTGTAGCTTCATGGTTGATAGATCTCTTTCTTACTGCTCCATTCTAATATTCCGAAAGTTTTGTCTTTGTGCATATGTTGAAAGGTATTGTATTTTTGTCCATTCCACGAAACAGTGTATTATCGAAAAGTGATTGCAGGTTTCTATTCTGGGCGGGTCTTCGATCATTCTGGTCAGTAATACTCTGAACTTCAACTTCTTCTGGTAACCAAGCACCGAGAATTTATTGTGTAAATTTTTTTAGTATGAAAATAAGTTCAAATATTTTTTTTTACTATCAGGCGAATACAATGAGATATATAATACTATATATCCATTCAAAATGTATTCATTAAATATAATATGATTGTGTTCTATTAGTAACTCAAATATTAGTAAAATTATAACCTTATTGTAAAGACCGACTAATTTACAATTATAAAGCTATTTTATTTTATTAGTTTTATTAGTCAACCGTAAAGGTTGATATTATCTATATAAAAATACAACACGTTTAGGATAATCACTGAATTGAATAAAAATGGAAGCTTAAAAGTTATAATAATTTATTTCTTTAAAACATTGGTTCCCAACCATTTATTGACTAAGGATCACTACGATATTTTTGTTTTTTTTAGGGGCCAAAAAGTATAATAAACTGTATGGTTATTTTAATATATTTTATGTATCTCTGATGGAATTATATACACATAATATAGGTATATAAATACTTGTAAATTTTTTGTGCTTATTTTCTAATAAGTTGGATCTCAGTGAACAAATTACAAACTATGCATTCATACCTCTTCAATTTGATTCAAGGACCATTTTTAACCATCTCCTGGACCATCCGTTGGGAACCACTTATTTAAAATCAATCAATCACAAATATAATTTATTATGATATGATGTTTTTTATTTATAACTCTATGTATTTTTATGGTTTAATAAAATAAATGTTCTTATCCGTCATTTATATCTTATATATTCCATATATATGCTTCAATTCTTGTAGTTTCAATAGAAGAAAGTGGAAGAGTAATGACTTTTTTGGTTGATTAGCTTGCGAATCAAAATTAAAGAAACTCAATAAGATGTGGTAGTGATTATATATTCAGATTACTATTATAAGTACAGTCTTTGTAATTTTTCCTCTAGTTGTTCTTATAAAAACTTATGTCTAAGTTAACTGACATGAAAAAATTTAACCATTTTGACATGAGGAGTTCGACATTAGTCATGGGCCAATATCAAAAGCTTAAGGCAATTCAAACAGATTAATGTGACAGTTGGTCTAGTTGACCAACTTATTTAAACCCTACGAGTTCATTATGTATTTCCACTCTATTACTTAAAAAACTATTTAGAGGCTCTTATGAAAAGCAGGATGTTTTTAATCCTAGCGCTGGACACCTCTCTGAAAGATTGAAAGACAAGTTTCCCTAAAAAATTCATCCTGCGTCTAGCCAGTTCCGGGTAGCTATAAAAGAAGTGTGTTACCAAATTAAAGCATGTCTCTGAAATTGCCAGTGACTAGGTATACAGTGAACGGTTATACCTTAGAGATATGCTCTCTTTTTTTTCGGTCCTCGGTTTTCTTCTATCAAATATTGGCTATATTAGCCTATATGTTACACAGATGTTTCTATATTATATAAAAGTTTTAACAACATAATAAATAAATAATGTGAATATTTCCTGTGATGAGTTAAATAATAAAAATTAATAAATATATATGTATAGTGTTTAATACATTTATTATTAGATGATAATTTTAAAAATAATATATATATACATACATATACAAAAAGTTATAAATAGCCAAAATGTTAAAGAGTGACTAAATAAATATTAATTTCAATAAATTCAATAGATAATTTAATAATAGATGTAGTTTCGGTCAAACAAAATATAGTAGGATCTAGAAGACAAATTATTTGTGAAGAGAATGAAATTAAATTTGGTATTTTAGTTAATCAAAGTTAATCAAATCACTTAGGTCTGTGAACTGGTTCTAAGTCTAAGTCGAAATAATACCAACGAGTTTTTATCAGTTTTAACTGAATTAATAACCTAGAGCAATGTTTCTTAATCCGAAAGGAAATGCGTACTAAAAAAATATTCAATGGAAATTTACAAGAAGCGAAAAAATTTTACAAGAACCGAGTCCATTCTTCTTGTGAGCACTTGAATTAATAAAAATTCAGCTGCAATGACAAATTAGAACAGAGCACCCAAGCTCGATGGGAGGATCGTTGCCTTTTTGACATTGCTGCTAGCCAGATCTATGACTATGCCCAGATGGCAATATTTGTTCCTGATATTTTTCCCAAAAAAACAGATATTGTGGAACAGTTATGCTGCTACTGAAAAAATAATTTCGTTAAAGCCGATATAAAATAAATATTTTATAGACCTTATTGAGAGTAACGAACCAATGAATCAAATCGCTTGGAATTTGTGTAGTTCACAACTTTTATATCTATTTGTTATTTGATTTCCCCCAAACTATATGAATCTAATGTATTTATG